GGTTATTCTAAATGTGGCCCGGGAATGGCGTTCTGGGATCTCGAAGAACACGAAGTGTGTGACTGTTGCATCCGGGTATTCATAATGTGGCCTGGGAATGGAGTTCTGGGAAGTCGAAGAGCACGAAGTGTGTGACTGTTGGTGAAAAACGAGCCCCGGCACCCCTGCCGCCCGCAACTCCCGCAACACATGGCCCGGACCCCCCCCTGTGGAGTGACGTGAGCTCTTTTGGTCAACTAAAACCTATCCAGTCCTTCGCTGGTAGGTATTAATCCCGGCAAAGCAACCTAACAGCGATGTGTAGGAGCATATCTGGAAGCATCCCCCTTAAGATTCAGATTAGAATCCAGTTGTAGAGTTCTGCTGTTCTCGCAGTCGTAGTCGCATTCGCGATGACAGTCGCAGTGGCCTGCATTAGCCTCAGCCTCAGCCTCAGCCTGCCTCAGCATCAGCCTCAGCCTCAGCTTCAGCCTGCCTCAGCCTCAGCCTCCGCCTGCTCCTGCATCAGCCTCAGTCTGCCTGCAGCCTCGGCCTCAGCCTCAGCCTGCCTCAGCCTGAGCCTGCCTCAGCCTCAGCCTCAGCCTCAGCCTGCCTCAGCAACAGCCAGCCTCAGCCTCAGCCTTAGCCTCAGCCTCAGCCTGCTTCAGCCTCAGCCTCAGTCTGCCTTCAGCCTCGGCCTCAGCCTCGGCCTGCTTCAGCCTCAGCCTGCATCAGCCTCAGCCTCAGCCTCAGCCTGCCTCAGCCTCAGCCTCAGCCTGCCTCAGCCTCAGCCTCAGCCTGCTTCAGCCTCAGCATCAGTCTGCCTTCAGCCTCGGCCTCGGCCTCGGCCTCAGTCTCAGCCTCAGACTCAGCCTGCTTCAGCCTCAGCCTCAGCCTCAGCCTGGCTCAGCATCAGCCTGCCTCAGCCTCAGCCTCAGCCTGCCTCAGCCTCATCCTGCCTCAGCCTCAGCCTCAGCCTGCTTCAGCCTCAGCCTCAGTCTGCCTTCAGCCTCGGCCTCAGCCTCAGCCTGCCTCAGCCTCAGCCTGCATCAGCCTCAGCCTCAGCCTCAGCCTGCCTCAGCATCAGCCTGCCTCAGCCTCAGCCTCAGCCTGCCTCAGCCTCAGCCTCAGCCTCAGCCGCAGCCTGCTTCAGCCTCAGCCTCAGTCTGCCTTCAGCCTCGGCCTCAGCCTCAGCCTGCCTCAGCCTCAGCCTGCATCAGCCTCAGCCTCAGCCTCAAAAAAAAAAAAAGACGGCCCTCAGCCTCAGCCTGAGCCTGCCTCAGCCTCAGCCTCAGCCTCAGCCTGCCTCAGCATCAGCCAGCCTCAGCCTCAGCCTCAGCCTCAGCCTCAGCCTCAGCCTGCTTCAGCCTCAGCCTCAGCCTCAGCCTGGCTCAGCATCAGCCTGCCTCAGCCTCAGCCTCAGCCTGCCTCAGCCTCAGCCTCAGCCTGCCTCAGCCTCAGCCCCAGTCTGCCTTCAGCCTCGGCCTCAGCCTCAGGCTGCCTCAGCCTCGGCCTGCATCAGCCTCAGCCTCAGCCTCAGCCTGCCTCAGCCTGAGCCTGCCTCAGCCTCAGCCTCAGCCTGCCTCAGCATCAGCCAGCCTCAGCCTCAGCCTCAGCCTCAGCCTCAGCCTGCTTCAGCCTCAGCCTCAGTCTGCCTTCAGCCTCGGCCTCAGCCTCAGCCTTCCTCAGCCTCAGCCTGCATCAGCCTCAGCCTCAGCCTCAGCCTGCCTCAGCCTCAGCCTGCCTCAGCCTCAGCCTCAGCCTGCTTCATCCTCAGCCTCAGTCTGCCTTCAGCCTCGGCCTCAGCCTCAGCCTGCCTCAGCCTCAGCCTGCATCAGCCTCAGCCTCAGCCTCAGCCTGCCTCAGCATCAGCCTGCCTCAGCCTCAGCCTGCACTCAGCCTCAGCCTCAGCCTACCTCAGCCTCAGCCTCAGCCTCAGCCTGCTTCAGCCTCAGCCTCAGTCTGCCTGCAGCCTCGGCCTCAGCCTCAGCCTGCCTCAGCCTGAGCCTCAGCCTCAGCCTGCTCAGCCTCAGCCTGCATCAGCCTCAGCCGCTTCAGCCCATCTCATCCTGCATCAGCCTCAGCCTGAGTCTGCCTTCAGCTTCGGCCTCAGCCTCAGCCTGCCTCAGCCTGCCTCAGCCTCAGCATCAGCCTGCCTCAGCATTCAAAATGTGGCCAGGGAATGGAATTCTGGGAACTCGAAGAACACGAAGTGGCCTACAGCTTGCTCCGGGCATTCAAAATCATACCCAGGAATGGAGTTTCTGGGAAGTCCAAGAGCACGAAGTGGCCTACAGTTGGCTCCGGGCATCCAAAATGTGGCCCGGGAATGGAGTTCAGGGAACTCGAAGACCACGAAGTGGCCTACAGTTTGGTCCGGGCATCCAAAATGTGGCCCGGGAATGGAGTTCTGGGAACTCGAAGACCACGAAGTGGCCTACAGTTGGCTCCGGGCATCCAAAATGTGGCCCGGGAATGGAGTTCTGGGAACTCGAAGACCACGAAATGGCCTACAGTTGGCTCCGGGCATCCAAAATGTGGCCCGGGAATGGAGTTCTGGGAAGTCGAAGAGCACGAAGTGTGTGACTGTTGCATACGGTTATTCAGAATGTGGCCTGGGAATGGGGTTCTGAGAGGTCGACGAGCACGAAGTGTGTGACTGTTGGTGAAAAACGAGCCCGGCACAGGCCCGGCCGGCAACTCCCAACGCCTGCCCGGACCCCCCTGTGGAGTGATCTGTGAGCTCTTTTGAGTCAACTAGAAACCTATCAGTCTACGCTGTTAGGTAATTATCCCGGCAAAGCAACCTAACATCGATATGTAGAAGCATAGCTGGAGGCATGCAGCAGCAGTAACAGTCACAGTAGTAGTGATGATGATGATGATGATGATGATGATGATGATGATGATGATGATGATGATGATGATGATGATGATGTATGATGATGATGATGATGATGATGATGATGTATGATGATGATGATGATGATGATGATGATGATGATGATGATGATGATGATGATGATGATGTTGTGGATGAGGAGGAGGAGGAGGGAGGAGGAGGATAGGAGCAGGAGGCGGAGGAGGAGGTGGTAGGAGGAGGAGGAGGAGGAGGAGGAGGAGGAGGAGGAGGAGGAGGAGGAGGAGGAGGATGGGGAGGAGGAAGAGGAGGCGGAGGGCATCCAAATGTGGCCCGGGAATGGAGTTCTGGGAAGTCGAAGAACACGAAGTGGCCTACAGTTGGCTCCGGGCATCCAAAATGTGGCCCGGGAATGGAGTTCTGGGAAATAGAAGAGCACGACGTGGCCTACAGTTGGCTCCGGGCATCCAAAATGTGGCCCGGGAATGGAGTTCTGGGAAATCGAAGAGCACGAAGTGGCCTACAGTTGGCTCCTGGCATTCAGAATGTGGCCCGGGAATGGAGTTCTGGGAAGTCGAAGAGCACGAAGTGTGTGACTGTTGCATCGGGTTATGGTTTTCAGAATGTGCCTGGGGAAATGGGTTTCTGTGAGGTCGACGAGCACGAAGTTTGTGACTTGGGGGTGAAAAAAACGAGCCCGGCACAGGCCGGCCGGCAAAACTCCCAACGCTGCCGGACCCCTGTGGAGTGATTCTGTGTGTCTTTTTTGTATCAACTAGAGCCTATCAGTTACGCTGTTAGTGAATTATCCCGGCAAAGCAACCTAACATCGATGTGTAGGAGCATATCTGGAAGCATTCCCCTTAAGATTCAGATGAGAATCCAGTTGTAGAATTGTGCTGTTCTCGCAGTCGTAGTCGCATTCGCGATGACAGTCGCAGTGGCAACGGCAGTCACAGACACAGCCTCAGCCTCAGCCTGCCTCAGCCTCAGCCTCAGCCTGCCTCAGCTTCAGCCTGCCTCAGCCTCAGCCTCAGCCTGCTTCAGCCTCAGCCTCAGTCTGCCTTCAGCCTCGGCGTCAGCCTCAGGCTGCCTCAGCCTCAGCCTGCATCAGCCTCAGCCTCAGCCTCAGCCTGCCTCAGCCTCAGCCTCAGCCTGCCTCAGCATTCAAAATGTGGCCCGGGAATGTAGTTCTGGGAACTCGAAGAACACGAAGTGGCCTACAGTTGGCTCCGGGCATTCAAATTCATGCCCAGGAATGGAGTTTTGGGAACTCGAAGACCACGAAGTGGCCTACAGTTGGCTCCGGGCATCCAAAATCTGGCCCGGGAAGTGGCCTACAGTTGGCTCCGGGCATTCAAAATGCGGCCCGGGAATGGAGTTCTGGGAACTCGAAGAGCACGAAGTGGCCTACAGTTGGCTCCGGGCATCCAAAATGTGGCCCGGGAATGGAGTTCTGGGAAATCGAAGAGCACGAAGTGGCCTACAGTTGGCTCCGGGCATCCAAAATGTGGCCCGGGAATGGAGTTCTGGGAACTCGAAGAGCACGAAGTGGCCTACAGTTGGCTCCGGGCATTCAAAATGTGGCCCGGGAATGGAGTTCTGGGGACTCGAAGACCACGAAGTGGCCTACAGTTGGCTCCGGGCATTCAAAATGTGGCCCGGGAATGGAGTTCTGGAGTGTCAAGTACGAGGAATTGTATGACTGTTGCGTCCGGCTATTCCGAATGTGGCCCGGGAATGGCGTTCTGGGAGGTCAAGGAGCACCAAGTGTGTGACTGTTGCATCCGGTTATTCAGAATGTGGCCTGGGAATGGGGTTCTGAGAGTCGACGAGCACGAAGTGTGTGACTGTTGGTGAAAAACGAGCCCGGCACAGGCCCGGCCGGCAACTCCCAACGCCTGCCCGGACCCCCCTGTGGAGTGATCTGTGCGCTCTTTTGAGTCAACTAGAAACCTATCAGTCTACGCTGTTAGGTAAAAATGCCCCCCATTTTTCCTGTATTTTCGGGGTTGCTGTCTTCCCCTCCCACTTCCCACATGTTCCCCTTATTTTCCAAGGGGTCGAGGACGAATCGTGTCTGTGTGCTTCTTTTCCTCCTGACCCTATGCCTCCCCCCCCCCTACCCTTGCCCCCGACCCGATCCCCCCCCCCCTGCCACCGGGCGGCTGGTCCACGGCCCGCGGACGGGCGGCCCGCCCGGGCGGCCCGCCGCCAGGCGCCACGGGGCGGCCGCCGGCGAGCGCTCCCGCGGGCCAGTCGCCGGGCGGCCACTGGGCGCCGAGGCTGTCCAGGGAGGTCCACCGCGGTCCTCCGGGGGAGGGGGCGGCCTGCGCACCGGCTGCGGCCAGCGGCTCGGGGCCCCCCGGGTGCCCCCCCCCCCCCTGCTCCCAGACCTCCTCGAGTCGTAGAAAACATCGGGGCGGGAGGTTTTCGCTGTTTTCGGCCTCGGAGGGCCCTCACCGGGGCCTCGGGACCGTCCAGAAACGACTCGAGTCATGAAAAAATCACGACGGGAGGTTTTCGCTATTTTCGGCCTCGGAGGGCCCTCACTGGGCCTCGGGACCGTCCAAAGACGACTCGGGATGGAAAACCGGTCCCGGGGAATGGGTCTGGACCTCTGGGGGTCGCGTCATGAAAAAAATCATGCTGTCGGGGGTCTGGGCTCCTCTCCACCAGGAGGGGGGGGGCCAGGGGGGGCGGAGGAGGCCGCGACGAGGCAACCCTGGAAGCACCTCGGGAGGGGGGGGGCAGAGGACAGGCTGCTCCACGGAGCTGTCTGCGCCGCAGCACAGCGCCTCACCACAACCCACGCTCCTGAGAACACCTCGGGGAATCCGCTTGCGCCCTCATATCTTCCAAAACTTCAGTGTTCCAACTATTAAAGCATTCAGTTCGAGTCACGCATATTCCGGATTCGGAGAGCACCCCCGTTATCTTGACGCAAATAGCTTTATCATACGTTGGACCCCTGGCGCCAGCATTCTGATTGGAGAGTCTTCTAAAATCTGGATTGGAGGCCCTCGAGGCACATGTAGTATGCGTGATGAACAGACCTCTAAAATCAAACCCACGCTCCTGAAAGTGCAAAGAAACAGAGGGGTCCAGTTTCGCTCTCTTATCTTCCAAAACTTCAGTGCTCCAACTATGAATTGCTTCATTTCGCGGAACTCCTACTCTGGATTCAGAAAATGTCCCCAATCCTTTTCGGCGAACAGCTTTATTGTGGTTTGGACCCCTTGAGCCAGCATCTTGTCTGTGAAGCCTTCAAATATCGGGAACAGATGACATTAAGACAAAAGACAGATTGGATAAAAACTTAAATCCGACCCCGCGCCCCTAAGAATATCCCAGATTCACAGGAATCCGACTGCGCCCTCATATTTCACAAGATTTCAGTGCTCCAACTATTGAATCATTATGTCGGGTCGCTCCGATTCCAGATTTGGAGAATGCCCGTCTCCCTTCACGCAAACAATCGCGATATGGTTTGAATATCTTGCGGCAGCATTTTGTTTGGGAAGCCTTCAACCATCTAGACGAGGCGCCCTTAAGACAGTATCTATGTTGAAGAAACTCCGAAACGCCAGCCCACACTCCCAAAAGTATCCCGTGTCAGCGGAGTCCCACTGCGTCATCTTGTTTCCAAGACTAATACTGAAGAGATCTCGAAAATGCAACCCAACTCCTAAACGTATACCGAATTCAACGATCCGATTGCGCTCTCACATTTTCCAAAACTGCCATGCTCCAACAATTAAACAATCCATTTCTGGCCACTATTCCGGATTCAGAGAATACCCCCTCGCAATACGCAAACAGCCTTGCTATGGCGAGAACCCTTTGCGCAAACATTTGGTTTGGAGGATCTTGGACTTTATGGGCTGTACGCCCTTCAAAAGGTATGTACTTGAGGCGGCCTCTAACTCCTACAAGCACCCCAGATTCAGAAGACTCCAACCGCGCCGCCATACGTTCCAAGGCTTCGGTGCTCCAACTATGAAATCATTCATTTCGAATAACGCCTGTTCCGGATTCAGACAATACCCCCTCCCAGATACGAAAGCAGTTCAGTTATGTCTTGTACCCCTGAGGCCAGCATTTTGTTTAGAGAGTATTCAAACGTCTGGAATGGATGCCCTCCAGACACTGTGCATGTTGACGAGAAGTCTAAAATACCGAACCCACACGCCCAAAAGTATTCCGATTGGAAGAGTCCGATTGCGCCCTCTTGTGTCTCAAGACTTGAGAGATCGAAGAGGTCTCTTGAATACAACCAGCACTCCTGAAAGTCCCTCGGAGTCAGGGGAGCCCGATTGCGCCTTCATAGTTTCCACAACTTCAATGCTCCAACTACTACCTCCATACTTGCGAGTCACTCCGATTCCAGGCTCAGAATACCCCCTTCCCTTCAAGTCAACAGCCGCGTTATGGGTTTGACCCCTTGCACCAGCATGTTGTTTGGAGATCCTTCACAGGTATGGATTGGGCAGCCTCAAGACAGTTCGCACGCTGAGAAAAGACTTCCGAAATTCAACACACGCACTTAAAAGTATCCCGATTCAAGCTTGAAGAGACACCATGCATTTCGAAACACTCTTATTCCGGATTCAGAGACTACCCCCTTCACATTACGAAAACAGCCTCCTTATAGTTTGGACCCCTTGGGCCAGCATTTTTCCTTGGAGAGCCTTCAACATCGCGGCTGGGTTCCTTGAAGACAATATGCAATGTGAAGAAACATCTGAACCCAAATCACGCCCCTAAAAGTATCCCAATTCAGGAGTCCGAATGCGCCTTGTTATATTTCAAGGCTTGAGATGTCGAAGAGACCTGCAAAAACCAAAATACACTCTCGAAACTACCCAAATACAGAGAAACCCGACTGTGCCTTCAGATGTTTCAAAACTTCAATGCCCCGACTATTCAATCCGTCAAGTCGAACCATTCCTATGCAGTATTCAGAGAATGCAATCCTCCCTGTGCGCAAACAGATGTGTTATGGTTTGGACCCCTTGCGCCAGCATTCTCTTGGATTACCTTCGAATATCTGGATTGGATGCCCCTGACGCACGTTGGCAGGATGAAGTAACATTTGAAATCGAAGCCACAATCCTCAAAACATCCCAGATTCAGGAGGAGCCCGATTGCGCCATACTGCTTTCCAAGACTTCGAAAATCGAAGAGATCTCTAAAATCTAAACCCACACTCCTGAAAGCACCGTGGACCCAAAAGAACCCGACTGCGCCGTCATAATTTCCGAAACTTCAATGTTCCAACTATGACACCATTCATACCGAGACAGTCCTATTCCAGCTACAAAGTAAGCCCCGTTCTCCCATTACAAAAACAGCGTCGCTATGATTTGGAACCTTCAACCATCTGGATTGGAGACCCTTAGGACGCTTTCCATTTTGAGAAATTCTCGGGGGTCGAACTCACACACCTTAAAGTATCCCAGATTCGGGTGGAACACAATTGCGCCCTACTGTTTTCCCAGACTTAAGAAATCGAAGAGACCCCTATTCCCTGCGGCCTTGGCTCACGCCGCTCGCGCGTCCGGCGGTCCGCCTGAGACTTCGTCTGCGCAGTCGGCGATGCCGCTGGGGTCAGCGGACGCGCGCGGAGTGGCGCCGCGAAGGGGCTGGAGAGCCTCTGACCGCCGTCCGCTGGTTGCCCGACTGGGACGACGTGCTTCAGAGCGCTCCGTCGTGGCTCCGCTGGTCCGCGCCAGACGGGCCCGACGAGGCGTGCGATGATGGGCCTGTTTTCCACCACCACCACCACCACCAGAAGTTGGAGGGGGGAAGGAGGTGGAGGAGGAGCAGGAGGAGGAGGAGGAGGAGGAGGAGGAGGAGGAGGAGGACCCCCTCCCCCTCCAACTTATGGCGGTGGTGGTGGAAAACAGGCCCAACATGCGATGCTTCGGTGTTGCTCGGCCTCGCCCGCGCCCGTCAGCAGCATCGCGGCCTGTTGCAGGCGGGCGGCGTCTGCCCCGTGGAGTGCCCGGACGGGCTGCTCACCGAGGGCGCCGTCGTCCCCCGGTGGCCACCCGAAGGCTGTGGCCGTCGCTCCCCCCGCTCAGAGTTAAGTCGGTCCTGTCCCTCCACAGGGGGAATACATAGGGGGAAAACAAACCTCCCTCGCTTTTGACCACCCTCGCTTCCAAGAGATACCAAACGATGCCAAATTGCAGCCTGTACTGGTTTGGCCGCTTGACGAGGAGGCGCGTGGTATGACTTGGTTTTGCCTGGAAGCGAAAGCGGGGGAGGTAATTCACGCTCTGAATACAGTCGGCCTTGATTGGGCAGGACACGCGAGAAGACACAAGACCCTGCCGAGGGCCACATCGCCATAGGGGTGTGAGAGGGCACGCGTCGCGAGGCACAGGGCACAAGGGCACCCTTGAGCTGGCAGCGTCGACCTACTAATCCGGGCCGACTGTTTTCAATACTAATGAAAAAATAGTTTGGGGGCGATGTTTGAATATCCTTTGACTATTTCGAGGTAATTGTACAATATTTTAAATTTTTCGTCCAAAATCCCCCTGCAGGGGAACAGGCCCGACTCAAGCCCAGAGGCTCAGAGGGCCCTGCGGGGTGCCGGCCTGGGTGACAACGCGACCCGCCGCCGCCGGGCCGCGGCGATCGCCGCCGTGCGGGACTGTCGGTACCGGAGTCAAACTCGGACTCGGCGGTTTGCCCCGCAGAGCCTACAGGGGTCGCGGCTTGAGCAGGGGCCGTCGTTGCCGACGGCCCCTGATAGCGAGCCCAGGAGTCTTGCGACCCCGTAGGCTGGCCACCTTGTTGGCTCACTAAGGTGGCGGCCTCAGTTGGTTGTGGATCGTCGTTCCAGACGTTGTTAGCAGGTTGCGCTGCATTCGCGTCGGCATGAAAGGTTTCGGCGCGATGACCGCAGCTGAATACACCACCAATGTTGCCAGGGGGTCGCTCAGCAATATGGGCAAAAGACCTCATGCGCTCGAGTACAGAATCAAGCTGTTGCTGGGTCCTTTGCATTTGGTCGTTCAATGGTTGTAATAGTTGCCGTGCACACGATGCACCGCCACCCCGAGCTCTACACAAGATAACTGTTAGGATCTGTAAGTTGGTCATATTGGAGCCTGCGGTCTTGGCCTCAAAGCGCACCATCTCAAAGCGCGCTAACGTCTGGTCCATCCGGTCTCCCGATTGGACGGACGCGAAAATCGATGAGAGCCGTTCCCGAATTAACTTGGCGCTCCTCCTCTAGGTTGTCAAAATTCGCGCTGGGGAGGTACATGATGTGGGCGACGCCGTCAGTGTGGCGACCACCAATATTCACGCCAAAGTTAACGATTGCAGGAGGTACTCTCATGGCTATGGTCCTTGCGAGCCCTCCCAGACCACGCAGTAATGCCGCGGCCTGTTGAGACGGGGCCACGTTGCCTGTAGCCACGTTGATCCAGGCGCGTACTTCGCGAACAAATTCGCGGAAGGGTGCGTTACCGACAGGGTCCCACTGGGGGCCGGCAGTACGCGCGTCGTCTCCGCCACGCTGCACGTGCCCAACAGCACATCCGATAGCGATCCATAGGAGGCCGAATATGGTAATACCAATCCAATGGCCCCTTAGGTCGTGGTCGGATTTTTGCGGCTGCGGGCTATGATGTGACGTCGTTAGCCTGCGTGGGGGTGGAGGCGGCACAATACCGCATCGCATGTTGCCATGCATCGTGTCTTCAAAAAAACTGTCCAAGTGAAGCAGGAGAGTGGACTTCAGGAGTGTAATAGCGCAGGAAGCACTCATGCAAGAGGCCTCCGCGCGAACGCAGGTAGCACTGCAAGTGTCCTTGCGGTCGTGCGTAGATATGTACATTCCTCCGCGCAGACCCACTGCACCCTGATGTTCCACCATGGCACTAGTCCACCAGCTAGCGCCGTGGATGGTGAGGAGTAGAGCTAGAGCAGACCACCATAAGCCAGCTCCGCTACCAAGTTTGAAGGGGGGTGGGAGGCCCAACCATACGCTTCGCCTGAGGCGAAACCCATATCCAACTTTGTTGTACCGTAGTAACGACAGTCCCAGAAGTAGGAGATCGTCGCGGGAGCGACGGGCCATGTCAAGCGAAGATGTTTTCGGTCTCAATGGCAAGTAGTGCGCCTCGCGATGAGGCGCGGTCATATATTGGCGGCCGGCCGCTTGAGCACAAACGGCCGCGGACAAACGCTCGCTATCTCTCGCCTTTGCCCCAACCTCCTTTAGAGTGCTGAAACAAGCCTCTCGCCCGAGGTATCCTCAAAATCTGCCCCGTTATCATCATCATCATCATCATCATCATCATCATCAGCAGCAGCAGCAGCAGCATCATCATCAGCAGCATCATAACCAGCAGCATAATCATCGTCATCAGCATCATCAGCATCATCAGTATCAGTATTATCATCATCGTCATCATCATCGTCATCATCATAATCATCATCTTCATCAAAATCATCACACGCTGCAACTTCATTATCATCAGCAGCATCATCAACATCATCGTCATCGACGTCGTGATCATCATCATGCTCATCATCATCGAAATCAGCATCATCATTATCGTCATCATAATCGTCGACATTGTTGTCATCATCATCAGCAACACCATCACCCGTACCATCAGCATTGTCACCAGCATTATTATCACCACCGTCATCACCATCATCATCAACGTCAACAACAACAACACCATACTGCTCATCACCATCACCATCCTAATCATGGTCATCATGATCACCATCATCAGCAACAACATCACCATCACGTTCGTCATCTGAATCATCATCCTCATCAGGAGCATAGTCATCATAATCATCATCAACACCATAGTCAGAGTCATCGTCATCATCTACCAAGAGTGACAGCATCCACTAATACCAGCATCACCATCATCATCGTCATCATCATATTTACTGCCCTCAAAAATACCATAAGTAGTGACCTGAGCGTGCCCCTGGATGAGGAATAGGAGGAGGGAGGGAAGTGAGGAAGGAGTCGGCGCGGTCGGAGTAATAACAAGAACACCATCCCTTGGATATGGGGAATAACATGAATCCCATCCTCAGGATGTGGGGTTCGGTAGTGCTACAGTGTAAAGCGTAATGACGCCCATCATCACCGTCATCATCATCATAATCGTCAACATCGTCATCATCATCATCTCCATCAGAACGATCATCATCAGCAGCAGCAGCATTATCAACATCATCCTCATCATCTGCATCATCACCGTCATCTTTCTCTCGCGAGGAAGAGGAGGAGGAGGAGGAAGGAGGTGAAGGAGGAGCCAGCGCGGCCGGATAAATAACAAGAACCCCATCCTTAGGATGTGGGGGGGGGGAAATCGCAAGAGCTTCACGGATTGAGGACGGGTCGTTTTCCAAATGTGGTTCTCGTCTTAGCGCCGCGCAGGTTCGCTTCAGGAATTCGGAAGAGTTTGGCAGGTTGGGGGCGGGCGAATGTCACAATGTGAATCACGCCTTAGCGCCGCGCGCATTCGTCTCAAACTTGCAATGGCCTCACGGATTGGGAGCGGCTCCGTTTCAAAATGTTGCCCTCGCCTAAGCGCCGTGCACATTCGTTTCAAATACATGCACGGGTTTCACGGAGCGGGGGCGGCTCCTGTTCGGAATGTCGTTCTCGCCTAAGCGCCGCGCACATTGGGTTGCAAAAAATGTAACAATGGAATTGGTCCCCATGGCTAACGTACCAGGCATGGCGTTCTGGAACGATTCAGGTTTGTGGCAGTCCCAAGAGTTTTGTTCTGGCACGGTGCGGAATCGTCAAAACGCAACCGTCAGGCTGACTCGTGGCGTTAAAATCCAGAGAATGGCGTTTTGGCACGCAGAAAGATGTTCACACGGTTGTCCCCCAACGGGGCATTTCCCTCAATAGAAATGAACCGTTGTAGGGGCCTATGAAGAGGGAGCTTGGATGGAGGGTGCAATCCAACATCGTTGATGAATCTTAGGTTTACACTAGTCTCGTCCTCAACCTCCTCCTCCTCCTCCTCCTCCTCCTCCTCCTCCTCCTCCTCCTCTTCCTCCTCATTATCCTCATCCTTCACCTCCCCCATTCCTTTCCTTCTAGATAACTCATCCCTGTCGCACCCCGAGGCCAGTCGGAAGGGCGGGCCGAACGTGTCGCCTCAGACTTTCTTGCCGCTTATGAGCCTGAGGCTAAAAAAACTGACCACAGTTTCACAAATGGAGGGCGGGCCCCTTCCAAAATATGGCTCTCGCCTCAGCGCCGCGCGCATTCGCTGACAGAAATTGCAAGAGTTTGACGGATTCGGGGCGGGCGACTTTCAAGATGTTGCTCTCGCCTAAGCGCCACGCATGTTCTGTTTCAAGATGTGCAAGGGTTTGACGGGTTGCGGGCGGGTCGTGTTCAAAATGTGGTTCTCGCCTTCGCGTCGCGCCGCGCCAGAGGTTCACGGATTGAAGGCGGTCCATTTGCACAATACTACGATCGCTTCAGCGTCACGCACATTCGTTTTAAATATTGCAACAGTGGCAATGGTTCATGGCGAAACAGTTACGTTGACTCGCGGTGTTGAAGTCCCAGGAATACTGTTCTGACACGATTCATGATCGCCACGACGCGATAGTCAAGTTGACTCGTGGCGTTGAAATCCTGAGAATGGTGCTGTGGCACTCTTCATGACATTAACACTGTTGTCCCACAACGGGACGCTTCCCCCAGTGGAAATGAACCCCTGTATGCGGTCTGTGAAGGGGGAGCTTGGGGGAGGGTGCATTCCAATATCGTTGGCCAGTCTTGGGTGTATGCTCAACCTCCACCTCCTCCTCCTCCTCCTCCTCCTCATCATCATGCTGCTCCTCCTCTTCCTCCCCCTCCTCCTCCTCCTCTTCCCCCTCCGCCTCCTCCTTTTACACCTCCCTGTTGTCTCCTCCCTCCTCCTCCTCATCATCATCATCATCCTCCTCCTCCTCCTCCTCCTCGTCCCCCTCCTCCTCCTCCTCCTCCTCCTCCTCCTCCTCCTCCATGGTGGTCCTGCGTCCCGCTTGGGGCTCGCCCTCTCCGCGCCAGGGACGCAGCGGCCCCACTTCTTGAGGTTGCCGACGTTGTGTGCGAACAAGCACGCGTCCCCCTTGGCCTCGGGAGCAGGAGGAGGAGGAGGAGGAGGAGTTGGAGAAGAAGAGGAGGAGGAGGAGGAGGAGTTGGAGAAGGAGGAGGATGAGATGGAGGAGGGGGAGATGGAGGAGGAGGAGGAAGAAGAAGAGGAAGGGGATGAGGAGGAGGAGGAGGAAGAGCGTGAAGGAGCCGGCCCCGCGGCCGCCTCGGAACGCGGAGTTCCCTGCCGACCAGGGGGGGGCCAGTCGACCGCCCGCCCCCGACCCCCATCGGTCGACGGATCGGCAGGACGGGCGCCCCGATCGAGGCTTGGTCGAGGGGATCGCACCATACAGCAGACGACGATCTCGAGCCTCCGACGGAGATAGCTCGCTGCGCAAGGAAAACGTGGGCAGGCTTTCGGCGGCCACATCGCTTCCTCCGACGGGCCGGAGTTAAAATGGCTGTGCCCCTCCCTCCTGCCAGCACGCGCGCGCATGAGCAACGAAGAGAGGGGAAAAGAATGTACCGCCTGACTGCGCCGCTCCACCGGATCGAGGCTCGATCGAGGCGCGATCGAGGCTCAATCGAGGAGATCGGGGGTCGTCTGAGCATATGGCACAATGGCCTGTAGTCTTGAACGTCTCGCACACCTGTGGTGGGTACCCCTTCCCCTCTCCTCCCCCTTCTCCCCATCCTCCTCCTCCTCCTCCTCCTCCTCCTCCTCCCTCTCCTCCTCCTCCTCCTCCTCCTCCTCCTTCTCCATCCCTTGCCTTTCTGAATAATTCCTCCCTGTCGCACCCCGAGACGTGTCGGCAGGGCGGGCTGGGCGTTTCGCCTGAGACTTCCTCGCCGCTTTAACCTTGACGCTACGAATGTGCAACAGTTTCACGGATGGAGGGCGGGCCGTTTTCAAAATGTGGCTCTCGCCTGAGCGTCGCGCACGTTCGTCTTGAGAGGTGTTCAAGGATTGGCGGGTGGTGGACGGTTCCTTTTCAACGTATGGCTCTCGCCTTCGCGCCGCGCACATTCGTCTTAAAAGTGTGCAAGAGCTTCACGGATGGAGGGCGGCTCCTTTTCGAAATGTGGCTCTCGACTTGGCGCCGCCCACATTCGTCTTCAAAGTTTGCAGGAACTTCACGGCTGGAGGCGGCTTTCCAAAATGTGGTTCCCGCCTTCGCCCCGCGCAAATTCGTCCTGAGAGTTCACAGCAGTCTCAAGAAATCTTATGCGTGACATCCCAGAAATGCTGGCACGACGCAGGACAGTCACGGCGCAACCGTCACGTTGGTTCGCGGTCTTGGAGTCCCAGGAACTGGTCTCTGGCTCGGTCCAGGATGGTCGGGACGTAACAGTAAAGTCGATTCGCGGCGCCGCAGTCCCAGGAATACTGCCACGGTTTAGGATGTTCGAACGACTGTCTTCCAACGGGGCACTACCCTAAGTGACAATAAATTATTGTATATGGGGCTATGGGGAAGAACCATGGGCGGAGGGTGCATTGCAACATCGTTGGTGAGTCTTGGGCTTGCAGTGGTCCTCCTCCCCATCTTCCCCCTCCTCCTCCTCCTTCTCCTCCTCATCATGATCATCATCATCATCATCATCATCATCATCATCATCATCATCATCATCATCATCATCATCATCGTAATCGTCATCATCAGCATCATCATCATCATCATCATCATCATCATCATCAGCATCATTATCAGCATCATCATCAGCAGCATCATCATCATCATCATCATCATCATCATCATCATCATCATCATCATCATCATCATCATCATCCGCCTCCTCCTCCTCCTCCTCCTCCTCCTCCTCCTCCATTCCTGTTCCTCCTGAACAATTCCTCCCTGCCGCACCCCGAAGCCAGTCGGAAGGGCGGGCCGGGCGTTTTGCCTGAGACTTCCTCGCCGCTCACGATCCTGAAGCCTGAAATGTGCAAGAGTTGCACGGGTGGAGGGCGGGTCGCTTTTTCAATGTGGCTCTCGCCCTAGCGCCGCGCACATCCGCTTTAGAAACTTGGGAGAGCTTCCTCACACACCTCCTCATCCTCCTCCTCCTCCTCCTCCTCCTCCTCCTCCTCCTCCTCCTCAACCTCCTCCTCCTCCTCCTCGTCCTCCTCCTCCTCCTCCTCCTCCTCCTCCTCCTCCTCCTCCTCCTCCTCCTCCTCCTCCTCCTCCTCCTCACACACTTCCTCCGCCTACCCTGTCACGTTGTCCTTGAGCTCCTTCTTGTGATCACACATCCCGTTGCCATCGACGGCCACATCCTTCAGGGTCGGCGGCACCGGCCGTAAGGCCTTCACACTTTGGGAGAACTTCACTGATTGAAAACACGTCGTTTTCGAAATGTGACTCTCGCCGTGGCGTCGCGCACATCCGTCTTAACATGTTGCAAGAGCTTCGCGGATGGCGGGCTGGTCGTTTTAGAAATGTGGCTCTCGCCGTAGTGCCGCGCACATTCGATATCAAAAATAGCAAGAGCTTCACGGATGGAGGACGGCTCCTATTCAAAATGTGCTCTCACTTTGGCTCCCCGCACGTTCGGTTGCAGAGTTCACTCCAGTCTCAATGGTTCTCATGGCTAACGTCCCAGAAATTGTGTTTCGGCATGATGTAGGACAGTCAGGGCGCAACAGTCACATTAATTCGTGGTGTTGAAGTCCCAAGATTGGCATTCTGGCACGATGCAGGATCACCCAGACACAACAGTAACGGTGATTCGCGGCCTTGAAGTCCCAGGAATGGTGTTCTGGTACAGTTCAGGATTTTCAAACGTTTGGTTTCAAACAGGGCACTTTATTACATGAAAAATTAACCCTTGTAGGGGCATATGAAGAGGGAGCTCGGAGGGAGGGTTTTGTGCAGCATCGTTGATGGGCCTTGGGTTTACATTGGTCTTCCTCCTCCTCCTCCTCCTCCTCCTCCTCCTCCTCCTCCTCCTCCTCCTCCTCCTCCTCCTCCTCCTCTTCCTCCCCTAGGAGGGGAAGAGGCAGGATGGCAAGGGGTGTGCGAGACCTCCGAGCGGGAGGGGCGAGAACAGGGAAGGGCAGGAGAAAGAGTACGAGGGAGAGAAGAGGGAGAAGAGGAGGATGCGAAGGGGGAGGACGAGCAAAACCTTCTTGACTAACCATGAAAGGTTATGTTGCTTAAGAAGCGCGCCCTCCATCAACCCGCCTCCTGCCTCATCCCCCGATTCCACTCCTCTAGCTCATCCTACTCGTCCTTGCCCTCATCCTCCTCCACTCCTTACACTTCCCCATCCCTCTGCTGCTCCTCCTCATCATCCCCATCTTCCTCGTCATATTCCGCCTCCCCCTCCTCCTCCTCCTCATCCTCCTCCTTCTCCGCCTCCGCCTTCTCCTCCTTGAGGAGGAGGGGGAGGAGCAGCAGCAGGAGGAGGAGGCGACAGAAGCCGTCGTCGCCGCCATCGTCGCCGAATCCGTCGACCTGAGTGCGCGTGAAGTCTGGCCGCGCGGCGACCTCGCTGCTGCCGTGCGCGAAGGTGCAAGCGTCGCCTCGGAGGCCAGAGACCACCACGCCCCACCACCGGGACACCAGGAGAGAGAAGCTAAAAGTTCACTGATCGAAGATCGGGGTCTCTTCGTGTGCTGCGCAAATGTTCCCAACCCTCCTGTGATCGGGCCTTCGTTTTGAATGGAGCATCGCTGGTCCCATCCTCCTTCTCCTCCTCCCGCCTCATCCCTTCCGCTCCCCTCCTGTATCCGACCACCTACCCCCTCATGCATCGCACCTCCGACAGTCTGCCTGTTTCCTGCCTTGCCTCCTGGGTGATAGCAACTGCTGTCAGCTGCGCCACTGTCGGCGACTGGTTCCGGATCAGACCTGTCACCAACCCTCCTTGGCTGTTTTTTTTGTTATTACAGAGGACTGCTGCTCCGTTCTCCTCCTCCTCCCCCTCCACCTTCTCCTCCTCCTCCTCCTCCTTCTCAGCCTCCTCTTCCTCCTCCTCCTCCTCCTCATCATCCTCCTCCTCCTCCTCCTCCTCCTCCCCCTCCTCCTCCTCTTCCTCCTCCGCCATCCCTCTTCTCATAAGGAACTCGCCCCCTGTCGCACCACCAGACGCGTCCAAGGGCTGAGGCGGGCGTTTCGTTCAAAACGTCCTGGGAATATTCGATCGTGAAGCTAAACCATCCAGCAGCTACAAAGATGGAGTGCGGGTGGTTTTCCAGATGCAGATCTCGCCTCACCGCCGCGCACATTCGTCTTCGAAGCTTCCGATTGATACAAGGATGGAGGACCAGCCGTTTTCCAACTGCGGCTATCATCAGCTATCACCTTATCGCCGCGCACATTCGCATCGAAAGCTTCCAGCGCTGACGAGGCTGGGGGGGGCTGGTAGCTTTCAAACTGCGGCCCTCGCCCTGGCGCCGCGCACTCTTACTTCAACAACTTCTCACGGCTACACGGACGTAGGGCAAGGAGGAGGAGGAGGAGGAGGAGGAGGAGGAGGAGTTGGAGGAGGAGGAAGGAGGATGAGAAAGAGGCGGAGGGAGAGGAGGAGGAGGAAGGATGAGGAGGAGGAGGGAGGAGGAGGAGGGAGAGGAGGGGGCGGAGGAGAGGGAGGAGGAGGAGAGGAGGAGGAGGAGGGGGCCAGTGGTGTTCAAACTGCGGCTCTCGCCCTGGCGCCACCCACGTGCAGTCCCACAGCCTGCAGCCGCTGCGAGGGCGGAGGCCGGCTCTCGTTCCACATGCGGCTCTCGCTCCGTGCTTCCACATGCGGCTCTCGCTCTCGCTCCTCCCCTCATTGGTCTTCTCCTCCTCCTCCTCCACATCCTCCTCCTCCTGCCACCTGCTCTTGCTCCCTTCTCCTTCCTCCTCCTCCTCCTTTATCCTCCTCCTCATCCTCCTCATCCCACCCCCCTCCTACCTCCTCATCATCCCCCCTCCCCCACCCCTCCTCCTTCCTCCTCATTCGTCCTCCTCACTCATCATCCTCCTCCTCCTCCTCCTCCTCCCCCTCCTCCTCCTCCTCCTTCTCCTCTCCAACTGTGCGACCCAGAAGTCACAGGTCTGTGCTACAGGTGCGTGGGGGACGGTTCCATGTCAGCAGGGGGCTATCGGTTGGGACTTCCTCAAACTGTATGACCCAAGCTCTCCAGTCGTTCGGCAGCTGCACGAAGGTATGGCGGTTCATTTTCCAACTGTGCGACTCCCGCAAATGTTGGGACCGAGACCTGGAAACTGCGCAACACGTGCACGGACGGAAGGCGGAGTTTGTGCAAAACGGGGCTGCCGTCAGACACTTCCTTCCTACAACCAGATCATCTATCTCTTTGCGACTTTTCTTAGCTGGGCAGACGGCGGGGGGAATTTGTTTGTCTAAAGGACTTCCCAATAACGATGTGTGCACTACCAGCGAGCATTATGAATGACCACAGCGATGCTGCCCCGCAGCATGCTACAGATGTGTGCCAGATGAGCGAAGAGCACAACACGAGGAGCACGGCGGGTTCCAGCAAAGACGGCGGGTGGAAATGTTTACAGCACGACATCTCGCCTGAGAGGCAGGCCCTCCCTGCCCTCGCCATTCAAGGAGCGCTTCCCGCAGCGGGAATACGGGCTCGGCTCTCATGGGCCGGCCGTGCGTGCCCGCCCGTGGACCCCTGGAGGGACAGGGCGCGGCGACCCTTCCTTTTGGCCCGCCACCTCTTCCAGAGGCCTCCGAAAGCCGAAAGGTAAGGACCCGACCCCCTGAAAGGTAAACCAATGATGCACGGGTGTCTGACAAAGACCAGCGAAGAAAACGAAGAGCAGAAGACGAACCGATCGCTACCGTGAGGTTACCATGGTGGTGTGTGGCGCCTTGAAGACGCAAGCAACCGACAACCGACAAGGGCGTCTACATAGGCTACAGTGTGTGCACAGTGGTGTCCACCGTTTGGGGGGGGGTCCTTCGGGCCAGAGGAACAGCCCGAGCGCCCCCCCTGGTTTGTAACGCCTTGTTGGTGCACCCAGAGCAGAAAATTACCGCTCGTGGTGGGAGCTCTGACGCGGGGGGGGCTCTTCGGGCCAGGGGAATAGCCCGAACAAACCACCTGACTGGCGGTTCCTTGACGACGCACGTAAGGATCCAACGGCGGGGCCGTCAGGAGACAAAGCGCCCCTGGTGGTGTGCAGAGCCTTGATGGCGCAACCCACAGCCAACGGGGGCGCCTGCGCAGGCTACAGTGCACATGGTGTTGGACCCCGTTTGGGGCGGTCCTCGGGGCTAAGGGAACAGCCCGAAACACCCCCCTCTGGTCCGTGGCGCCTTGTGGGCGCACCCAGAACACAAAACGTCCGCCCGTGGTAGTGGCTGCATTGAGGGGGGGTTCAAGGCTAAGGGAACAGCCCGAACAACCCCCGTGACAGCGGGGCCGTCGTGAGCCACGGTTGCTGAGGTGGTGTGTGGCACCTTGATGGCGCAACCGACAACCGACAAGGTCGCCCACGTAGGCTACAGTGCGCATGGTGATGGACACCAGTTTGGGAGGGTCCTTCGGGCCAAAGGAACAGCCCGAACACCCCCCCCCCGGTTTGGGCGCCTTGCTGGTGCAACCCACAAAGGAAAACGACCGTGCTGCCACCCCCGGTGCTCGTCGGGTCCTTCGGCCAATGGGCCTCTAAAAAAAGAAAGAAACGATGAAACGAATGGAAAATAATGGAGACACAAAGATAACACAAAACAAAGAAAAATAGAAATAGAAGAAAAAAACCAAAAAAAATAACACCCGCAGACCCCACCCCGTATCCCAGGAAGCGTATGAGAACCCACACCAAATAACCAATGCCGACCCCGACATACACAAATCACCCCCCCTCCTCACTACCGCACACAACCCCAACCCCCCCTCCCCCCAACCCATACAGCTTCCCCAAACAACCACTCACTCGCCCCCACCCCCACCCCCACCCCTACCCCCTGCCCGCCCCCCCCCCTTCCGACACCATGCCCCTCGTCCGCGCTCACCTCCACGATCAGCGGCCCGAACAAACCCCTCTGGTTTGTGGCACCGTGGTGACGCACCCAATACGGAACCGACCGCCCAGGCGACCTCCCAAAGGGGGTACGACGGGCCAACGGTTGTGGCGCCATGTGAACAAGTTGTCGCCAGATTGTATGTGCGTGGGGTGGTGGAGCCCCATTGAGGGTTTGTTTGGGTCTTGGGGCCAGCCCAGATGACCCCCCTTGGCCTGTGTCGCCCAGGTGGCGAAAACCCCAGCGAGCTCAAGGGAGGTGCTCATCGGAGACTGTGTGTCCTTGTGTGTGTGTGTCTCCTTACAGGCGCCCCGCGCGTCCTCCCTGAATTCTGAGTACGGTGTCCAAAGCCCCCTCCTCCTACTTCCTCTCGTCCCCTCCAAAGAAAGAGAGAGAGAGGACACAAGGCGTCGGCGCTGGTGGCGCAGCGGGAATTCGGGCTCGGCTCTCATGGGCCGGCCGTGCGTGCCCGCCCGTGGACCCCTGGAGGGACCTTCCTTTTGGCCCGCCACCTCTTCCAGAGGCCTCCGAAAACCGAAATGTAAGGACCCGACCCCCTGAAAGGTAAACCAATGATGCACGGGTGTCTGACAAAGACCAGCGAAGAAAACGAAGAGCAGAAGACGAACCGATCGCTACCGTGAGGTTACCATGGTGGTGTGTGGCGCCTTGAGGACGCAAGCAACCGACAACCGACAAGGGCGTCTACATAGGCTACAGTGTGTGCAAAGTGGTGTCCACCGTTTGGGGGGGGGGTCCTTCGGGCCAGAGGAACAGCCCGAGCGCCCCCCCTGGTTTGTAACGCCTTGCTGGTGCACCCAGAGCAGAAAATGACCGCTCGTGGTGGGAGCTCTGGCCCGGGGGGGCTCTTCGGGCCAAGGGAATAGCCCGAACAAACCACTCTTAATCATCCAACGGCGGGGCCATCACGAGACAAAGCGTCCCTAGTGGTGCGGAGCCTTGATGGCGCAACCCACAGCCAACGGGGGCGCCTGCGCAGGCTACAATGCACATGGTGTTGGACTCCGTTTTGAGGGGTCCTTAGGGCTAAGGGCTAAGGGAGCAGCCCGGAACACCCCCCTCTGGTCCGTGGCGCCTTGTGGGCGCACCCAAAACACACAACGTCCGTCCGTGGTAGTGGCTGCATTGAGGGGGGGTTGAAGGCTAAGGGAACAACCCGAACAAACCCCGTGACCTTGATCATCCGACAGCGGGGCCGTCGTGAGCCACGGTTGCTGAGGTGGAAGGAACGGGAGGGGGATGAGGTGAAGGATACCGAAGCTGCGGATGAACGCGGGAGGAAGGAGAAGGGAGGACGGGGAAGGGAAAGCAGGGAAAGGGGAAAAAAAACACGACATGTTATCACGGATGCTACTGCACTATGCAGCTGACCAGTGCCCCCAAAAGAGCCGCACTTTGTTGTGGCGTGCTGGGGCTCTCGCCAAACGGGGACGGCGGCCGAACACGCGGTAAACAAATCCTCTGGTGTGCTGCACAAGCACACAAGTAAAATAACACACGCAGGTGGGAATTCGAGGGGGCTCGAGATGAAGCCAGGAATGTCGGCGGGTAAACAGGGAGAGAGATCCCTGCGACACACGCGACAGCGTACAAAGTCCTCGTTACAGAATGCAGCGAGTGTAGAACTTGAGCCCAACGCAGGTAGAAACGCGCCGCATTCGAGGGGTAAAACAAAGGCGGGACCGCCAGCATTTCTGCTGGGGGTCTATACCTCTGTTGTGCGAGTGTGGAATGGAAGCAGGACCGCCGGCATTGCCGCCAGGCTGTCCCAGAGGTCGACGCCTCTGGTGTGATAGTGGGATGGCAGCAGGACCGCCGGCATTGCCGCCAGGCTGTCCCAGAGGTCGACGCCTCTGGTGTGATAGTGGGATGGCAGCAGGACCGCCGGCATTTGCGCTGGGCTATGTCCCGGAGGTCACCATCTCTGGTGTGCGAGTGTTGGGTGGGAGCAGGACCGCCGGCCTAACCGCCGGGCTGTGTCCTGGAGAACGATGCGTCTATCTATGGTGTACGAATGTTGAGTGGAGGCAGGACCGCTGGCATGGTCGCCAGGCTGTGTCCTGGAGGTCAACACCTTTGGTGTGCGAGTGGGATGGCAGCAGGACCGCCGGCATTTGCGCCGGGCTATGTCCCGGAGGTCAATGCCTCTGGTGTGCGAGTGTTGAGTGGGAGCAGGACCGCCGGCCTCGCCGCCGGGCTGTGTCCTGGAGGACGATGCCTCTATGGTGTACGGGTGTGGATGGGAAGCAGGACCGCCGGCATTGCCGCCGGGCTGTGTCCTGGAGGTCACCACCTCTGGTGTGCGATTGGGGGTGAAAGCAGGACCGCCGGCATTTGCGCCGAGCTATGTCCCGGAGGTCAGTGCCTCTGGTGTGCGAGTGGTGGGTGGGAGCAGGACCGCCGGCCTAGCCGCCGGGGACCGCCGGCATTGTCGCCAGGCTGTGTCCTGGAGGTCAACACCTCTGATGTGCGAGTGGGATGGCAGCAGGACCGCCGGCATTTGCGCCGAGCTATGTCCCGGAGGTCAGTGCCTCTGGTGCGCGAGTGTTGAGTGGGAGCAGGACCGCCAGCCTCGCCGCTGGGCTGTGTCCTGAAGGATGATGCCTCTATGGTGTACTGGTGTGGAGGAGGAGGAGGAGGAGGAGGAGGAGGAGGAGGAGGACCTGAGGAGGAGGAGGAGGAGGAGGGGGAGGAGGGAGTAGAGGGGGGGAGGAGGAGGCGGAGGAGGAGGAAGGAGCGAGGAGGAGGAGGAGGAAGGAGGAAGGAGGAGGAGAAGGAGGAGGAGAGGAGGAGAGTAGGAGGAAGGAGCGGGGAGGGGGAACGGGCAGGCAAGAGGAGGAGGGAGAGGCGGCGAGGCGGGGGACGGTGGAGGGTAGGAGAAGGCGGAGGGGACCAGGGGAGGGAGGCGAAGAGAGGAGGCGGGGGATGGGTGTAGTGGGCAGGGGGAAGGGGCATAGCGAGAGGAGCAGGGAGGAGGGAGGGGGAGGGAGGGGGGGCAGCAAGCAAGCAGGCAGGCAGGGGGGCGGCAGCGGGGGGCGCACGGCAACGGGGGCGCGAGCCACCAGACCATGCTAGCTAGGAGCGCGTGCTGGTGGGGGGCGGACGGGGCGGGAGGGCGGAGGGGGCCCGCGCATTCGGGGGTGGGCCGGCCGGCGCCCCCTACAGACAGATTTTGGAAGCAAAATGCAAGCGGCGAAGCGTGGGTTGACCCCGCCGCCGCCCATCGGCAGACTGGGCTCGCCCTCGTCCACTCGCCCACCAAGGCTCGAGCGAAGCAGCGTTCTCCGTGTTCGTGTTATCCTCGCCTTCCCCTCGTTCTGCCTGCGTTCCGCCCGTGCTCTCAGGACGAAACCAAAAAGAAAACGGCCCACGAAGCCGCCAAAGCAGCGTCAGGCTCGCGCCCTGTCGCCGGCTGCCCCAGCGAGAGGGCCGTGCTGCCTGCTCTGAGTCCTGGCACCCCCGCCGCGCTCTCCCGATGCCTCACCCGCCGGCCGCCTCCTGCTTCTCTGTCCCGCCAGCTGCCCGCACAGGTTCGCCGCATGGGCCAACAACCGGCTGACGCTGCGCGCGCGCCCATCGTCGCTCGCCTCCTCCTCTTCTTCCTCCTCCTCCTCGACATAATCATCACCATCATCATCACCACCACCACCATGATCATCGTCTTCTTCTCCTTCTCCTTCTTCTTCTTCATCATCATCATCATCATCATCATCATCAGTAGCAGCAGCAGCACAATCATCAGCAGCATCATCAGCATCGTCAGCATCATCAGCATCAGCAACATCGTCATCATCATCCTCATCATCAACCACGACGACGACAACAACATCCAAAAATCAGCAGCGTCACCATCGTCGTCATCATCATCATGATCACCATCCTCGGCAAGAACATCATCATCAATATCAGCATCAGCATCATCATCATCATCATCATCATCATCATCATCATCCTCATCCTCATCATCATCATCATCCTCATCATCAGCATCATCATCATCATGATCATCAGCATCATCATCATCATCATCAGCAGCATCATCATCTGCATCATCATCATACTTTTCCTCCCCTCTTCGCTCTCCTCCTCCTCCTCCTCCTTCTCCTCCTTCTCCTCCTCCTCCTCTTCATATCCCTCGCTCTCCTTCTTATCCCGGGGTCCCTCGGCTGGCTAGGCTTATCATGGGTGGCCTTGGGCTGGTGCACTGATTCTCTCGGCGTATGACAAATGTAGAGTGTATCCCTGCCCAGGATGAACATGGCAAGAGCTGCCGAATGATGCGCCTCCTCATCCCTTCCTGCTCCCATGCTGATGCGTCTCTCCCTCATCTCTGTCTCTCCCTCTCCCTCTCTCCCTCTCTCTCTCTCTCTCTGTCTCTCTGTCTCTCTGTGTTTCGTTATATCTCTCTCTATCTCTTTCTTTTGGTTCTGTCGCTCTCTCTCTCTCTCTCTCTCTCGCTCTCTCTCTCTCTGGCTCTCCTTCTCTCTCTCTCTCTATCTCTCTCTCCCTCTGTAACTTGATGCTTATTTGAATAAAATTGTGTAAACATATATATATGTATATATATATACATATCTCCTCCACCTCCTCTTCCTCCGTGGCCTGCTCCTCCTCCTCTTCCTCCCAGGACACCTGAGATGCTCACTGGAACATCCTGCAATCCCCCAAAAGCCCCTAGAATGCCCCAAACCCCCCTAAAACCCACCTCCTCCCTCATCCCTCCCTCCGTCATTCTGTCGTATCATCCTCCCTCATCTTCTTCCTCCTCTCACCGCGTGAGACGTAGCAACGGCGACAGCTGGAAATCAAACAAAAAGTTTAAATTCGAGGTTGGATGCGATACTCTACACGCTCTGGCACAATAATTCTGATCGAAAACACTTGCGACTGAATACCCGTTGTGAAGTTTGTCCGCCCAACCCCAATGAGATAATTGCCACTCTTGGTCATGTGGTAAAGCGCGTGAGAAAAATAACACATTGTGGAAACATGCTGATCACGCACAAGCGAAGCGCAATAATCCCAGCCACCCCGATACGCAACACGCAACCTGTAGCGTGTTGAAACGGAGCTCAGCACGTAGATCGAAAACATACATTTGGCGCGACACGCGCGCCAACACGTGGGCCGAAACGTGGAGCCGACACGCAATATGTCACATGGACTTGTTGAACACGGCACGTGTTGCGTTTCAACACGGGCGTACCAGGGCAGCTAAGGTGGCAACACTTCCCAGCAATACCTCGCCAGAAATTCCAACGAACGGTTGGGGCACGTTTTCAAGTTACTGGCCGCGGACTGCGCAAGACCAGAATGGTATCGGACGCCTTGCTTTGAGCGCGGGCGCACTGCGGGTGGACCAAACCAACACCAAACTCCACCAAGTCAAAGCAAGGCGGTGGCAATCAACCAAGTTCCACGATGCCTGCTCGCCTGGCCAACACTTCCTCCTCATAACCATCCCTGCTCCCTGATTCCCCCTCCACGTCAGGACAAGCGCGTTCCACTACTCGCAAATCAACTACTCCCAAATTGCCTGTATCCGCCGCGGAAGATGCACGATATATTACATAGAGGAAGACACGTATTTCGGCCATTTGCGAGTAGGCACTTTGCGAGTAGTGGAGCGTATTCGGCGGACATCAGGTCTCGTCGCCGCGGGAGCAGGCGCCCTGCGCGTAGAACACGCAGAGCCGGGTCTTGCGCAGCAGCTCGGCCGTGAGGGCCACGTTGCCCTTGCCGGAGACTTTCGCCTTGATCTTCGGCATCCCGCCGCTGGGGCTGTGGCGGCGGCGAGGCCTCGGCGAGGAGGGCGAGAAAAAGAGCGAGGGTGTGGCAATAATCATAGTAGTAGTACTACTACTACTACTACTACTACTACTACTACTACTACTACTACTACTACTACTACTACTACTGCTACTACTGCTACTACTGCTACTACTACGGCTACTACAGCTACTACCACTGCGACTACGACTACGACTACGACTACGACTACGACTACGACTACGACTACGACTAGTACTACTACTACTACTACTATTACTACTACTACTACTACTACTACTACTACTACTACTACTACTACTACTACTACTACTACTACTACGACACTACTACTACTACTACTACTACTACTACTACTACCACTACTACCACCACTACTACTACTACTACTACTACTACTACTACTACTACTACTACTACTACTACTACTACTACTACTACTACTACTACTACTACTACTACTATTACTACTACTACTACTACTACTACTACTACTACGACAACTTATATTACTACTCGTACTACTAGTACTGCTACTACTACTACTACTACTACTACTACTACTACTACTACTACTACGACTACGACTACTACTACGTGGTAGTGGTAATTGTGGTGATAGTAGTAGTCGTATTAGTAGTAGTAGTAGTAGTAGTAGTAGAAGTAGTAGTAGTAGTAGTAGTAGTGGCAGTAGTACTAGTAGTAATAGTTGCGGTAGTAGTAGTAGTAGTAGTAGTAGTAGTAGTACGAGTAGTGATATAAGTTGTCGTAGTAGTAGTGCTGATAGCAGTAGTAATAATAGTAGTAGTAGCAATAATAGAAATAATAATAATAGTAGTAGTAGCAACAAGAAGTAGAATCGTCGTCGTCGTAGCCGTAGTTGCCCTAGTAGTAGCCATAACCCTAACAGTAGTTGCAGTAGTCGCAGCTGACGCCACCAGCAGAACTAAGATTGATAGAATTGCTGTTAAAACTAGCACCAGTCGCAAAAGTAATGCGAGTAGCACCCGCATTAAAAATATCACTAATAGCGTCAATGGTGGTCATAGCATTCGCAACCGTACTCCGAGCACTGCACTCCCACTGGCACTCGTTGTACGACTAGGAGTACGAGAACCGAGACTAACAGTTGCATTAGATATACAAAATGTATATACATATATACATATATACACATATATGGTCGATCCCGCCACACATGATCACACATGTGGGCTCCTCCTCCTCCTCCTCCTTGTCCTATTTCCTCTTCGCCTCCTCCTCCTCCGTCACCTCTTCCACCTCCTCCTTCTCCTCCTCCTCCTCTTCGTCATCATCATCATCAGCAGCATCATCAGCAGCATCACCATCATCATCAGCATCAGCATCAGCATCATCATCACAATCAGCATCATCAGCATAATTATCATCATCAGCATCATCACCATCATCATCAGCATCATCAGCAGAATCATCATCATCATCAGCATCATCATCATCATTTTCAGATTCATCATCATCACCACCACCATCAGCATCATCATCATGTCGTCGGCATCATCATCATCATCAGCAGCAGCATCCTCATCATCATCATCATCGTCATCATCATCATCATTCATCATCATTATCAGCAGCAGCATCATCATCAGAATCGTCATCATCATCCGCTTCCGCCGTCTCCTCGTCCATCTTCTCCTCCTTCTCCGCCTCCGCCTCCTCCTCCTGCTGTGAATGTCGAGGGCCACCCCCAAGCACTGCTATGCACAGATTGTTTGGGATTTCTTGGGCTGGAGTGCCACCAAACACTGCCATACACAGTTTTATGGGGGGGTCTCAGACCATTGTACCACTTCCCCTCATCATCTTGCAAAGGCTGAGGACCATCAAACACTGTCGAAAACAGATGTGTTAGTTCTTTACGTCTGGAGCACCAACAAACAACCTTCGAACACTGCCATGCACATACTTTTGAATATCGAATTTTCACTAGGTGCGCAACTCGCCCCTTCCTCCTCCTCCTCCTCCTCCTCCTCCTCCTCCTCCTCCTCCTCCTCCTCCTCCTCCTCCTCCTCCTCCTCCTCCTCCTCCTCCCCACCTCCTCCTAGACTACGAGGTCGCTACAAAACGACGGCAGCGGCAAGGGGACGAGGAGGCAGCGGCTCGCAACCCGGCGCGCAGGCCTGAACGCACACGCACTGGACGTCGCTGGCCTCTGGCGCAGAGCAGCGCCTCGGCAAAGCCGACTTGAGCCAAGGAGGTGCACAGCCGAGGGCGAGGAGGGGCCCCCCGAGGGGCGCACCGTGCGCGCACGCCGAGCGCATGCCACTGGCGTACCGCGCGGCCAAGGACGTCGACCCAAATCTTGCGGGATCCGCTGCAGGTCGAAGCTGTGGCCCCGTCTATACATGCCCCTGCCGCCCCTTGGGCGCCGCTCTGCCCCGCATCTTCTACCTCTCGGCATCGCTCCCCACTTCTCTCTCTCATTCTCCCTCTCTCTCTCTCTCTCTCTCTCTCTCTCGCTCCCTCCCTCATTAGATAGATAGATAGATAGATAGATAGATAGATAGATAGATAGATAGATAGATAGATAGGTAGGTAGGTAGGTAGATAGGTAGATAGGTAGATAGGTAGATAGGTAGATAGGTAGATAGGTAGATAGGTAGATAGGTAGATAGGTAGATAGGTAGATAGGTAGATAGGTAGATAGGTAGATAGATAGATAGGTAGATAGATAGATAGATAGATAGATAGAGATAGATACATAGATATATAGATAGATAGATAGATAGATAGATAGATAGATAGATAGATAGATAGAGATAGATAGATAGATATATACATATATATATATAGATAGATATAGATAGATAGATATATAGATAGATAGATAGATATACTAGAACCACGCGCGCGCTGCGCGCTTGCGTTCTAGTCACAGATCGGCCATGGCCCTCGTTTTCGCTCGTGTCATCGGGGGCGACGCTGCGAACCTTCCCACATGCGGGCTCTGCGGAGCTCACACCCGCCTCGGCCCTCTCCCGTCGTCGCCCTTCTCGGTCCTCGCCGCTGCTGTGATCCTCCTCCTCCTCCTCCTCCTCCTCCTCCTCCTCCTCCTCCTCCCGGTCCTTCTCAATTCCCTCGGTGGCTCTCCCTTTCCCCTCTCCCATGCTCCCTCTTTGCTCCTCCGCCTGCTCCTGATCTTTCCCCCCATTTCCTCCTCCTCCACCAATTTCGACCAGAAGCCGTCGCACGCCTCGAGGGGGGGGGGGGGACGAGGTTCGAACGTCCAGGTTCAAGATCTTTCGGATTTTGACCCTCTGGGAGGTCTCGAGGAGGCCAGAAATGTCAAAAACCTGAAGGCCCCTTTTCCTTCAGGAGCCCTTTCACTCGTGGCGAGAGTTGCGGAACCTCCGCGGCCCACCATGACGACGACGACGACGACGACGACGACGGCGACGACGACGACGACGACGACGACACGACGAGGACGACGACGAGGAGGACGACGACGACGACGACGACGACGACGACGACGGCGACGACGACAGCAACGACGACAACGACGTCGACGACGACAGCAACGACGACAACGACGTCGACGACGTGGGCCCTCTTTTGCGGTCCAGGGGCTCGGATCTGTCTTGAGGCTTCGCTGATTCTGCGTGGGCTT